GCCGTAGATGCCTGACAACATGCCGTGCTGGCTGGGGGGAAGCCATGCTGTAAAGAGCTGGAGGAACACTCCTTTTTAACCCAGAAGGTGCAGCCCAGATGCCTCACCCCCCATAGCACTGCCCAAAGATCAACCAGAGGATGCTTCTGGGTCTCGCTGTGACACCCAGCGACAGCAGAGCTGGGGGGGTCGGTCAAACCGAGCTGCACATTGCAGAACATCCCTCTTTATGTGCTTTTCTTGTTCAATTTCCAGAGGCTGAGACTTTCTCTGAAGCTTTTATAATTCTGTAGATATTTGAAGACAGATCCGTACGCTCTCTCACGGCATCTTTGGCACAACTGGGCACACCCCACTGGCATGCAAGGCAGCGCTGCGGTGCGTGTGGCAAGGGGAGGCTGTATTCCGATGTCTGCTTGGGTTTTACACAATAAAATACTTGTTTCTTTGACACGAGCCTCTTGTCTTCCCTTCCCCACAGCGAGAACAGGCCCGTGGAAGCAGCGCAGTGCAGAGCCCAGCCCTCCCCCCGCCAACCTGCACGTCTCGGCTTCTCAACCGAGACCCCACCAGCCTCCCCATCTCTCCACACTCACAACAAAATCTCTTTTTTCAGCCTCTTTCCTAGAAGAGATCCAAACTCACTCCTTTATCAGAGGTTTGTGGCAAAATTATACAGGTACATGACCGAAGCTCTCCTTTCCATCAGCGCTTTCCAAGTAATTTGCTCGACTGGGACATTTGCGCCTGATTTGCACAACCCCTTTGGACCCTCCGGGGTGGCCGCAGTGCAGCGGCGGCTGGAAAAGGCAAATTGGGTGGGTTTCAGCATTTTGTTTTGCCTTTTGGATTCTTCGTTTCTAATTTAAACCAAAGCCTTGCAGCAAGAGGCGTTTTCCTTGTCACAGATGGATGCAGACCCTCCGGATGTGGGTTCACATCAGCAGTTTGCCGGGCTTGCCTGTAGGCTGTCAGCAATTCCCAGCAATTCCTCGCTGTCAGCCAACGAGCTAATTTTAAATTAGTTTAAAATTGGCCTTTCTAATATTTCTCCTATGTTTGGAAACAAGAATCCATGTGTTTCATGGTTCTCGCATGTCTCGGCATAGCCCCCCGGCAGCTGTGCACCGCAGCCAGGTAGGTGTGTTTGGTGGGTGGTGGGATCCTGCCCCTTCCCGGCTGGCAAAGGTGTCCAGCGCCCTGGGACTGCGGCCGCACGGGGCTGGTGCTGGTGGTGGTGGTGGTGCTGGTGCTGGGGAGGTAACGAGGCACTTGAGGAGCAGGCTGGGTGGGTGCCCCCGTGCTGTGCATCACTGTGGGGCCGTGACACCCCATGCCCGGCTCTTTGCAGCAATTCCTGCTCTCCAGGGGGATTTCACGCTCCTGAGGGCAGGGATGGGCATCTCCTGGGGTCGGATTCAGACCTTAACAACAAGAAATGCTGAGTTGCAGTGTGGCCAGGCTGTGGGCACTGTCCTTCACCCAAACCTTCCCTGACTGGGTGTCATCGCACATGCAACAAAGATGATTTATTCCAGATGTTTATCTGGACACACACTTTGCTTTGGGAAGCGAGGAGCCAGCTTTCGCTGCTGCAGCGCGTTCGCAGGGTGCCTGCAGCGCTGGCTGTCAGTGGCAGTTGCCGCGAGCCCGTACAGTGCTCCCAGAGATCGGCGTGACCCCGGTAAGAAAGTGTGCCTCGGGATTTTTTGTATCTTCTATTTTTCCCCTTGAAACTGGCAAACTGCCATGCGCTGTGCCATCACTGCAGTCCATGCAGTTTCGCAATTAAGTGGAGGGCAGCGTGTCTCCTGGTTCTCTTTGCATGAAGTATGCAACTCAAAGAAAAAATGAGGCTTGCAAAAATCCTGTACTCCCTTCTGTGCTTTCAGATGAAAAAAAAGAAAAAAAAATCACAGATTGTGCCGTTTGGAAGAGAGATCTTCATGGTCTGCCCTTCCAACTGGTCTGGAATTTCTTAATAATATATTCAAACAGCTCAGGGAACAGCCTTACAGAGCGGCATCGGCCGAGCTGGGCAGGTATGGGAATGTCTTCCCGCTGAACTTCTCAGCCTGAGTGATGCTGAACCTGTCCTTGTCCCCCCAGAGCAGCCCCGCTCGGGGAGGCACTGCGGGGGGAATTGTCTGCTTGCGCAGGAGGTTCTGCCTGTCTCCTGCCTTGGTGTGCAGAGCTGATGGGAGCAGGATTGGTGCTGGCTGTCCTGGGAGGGATCAGCAAGACCCAGTTTGAGACGTGGGATTGGGAAGAAACCTCTGGGATCCCCTGGATGCTGCTGCAGCCTTTAGCAGGTTCTAGTGTGGGCCAAAAAAAATGTGCAATTACATCCAGCACTGATGGCACATTGAATCTGATCCCGAGTGCTGGGTCCGCTGGCAACTGCGTTGGAGATGAAACTGGGACCAGTGGCTCCAGAGTGGGGTGATGCTCCTGGACCCTCCAGAGAAATAAAGCAGCTGGAAAAAAGATGCAGTGTGACTGCGAACGAACTGCCCGCAGCCCCCCTCGGCAGTGCTCAAGGTGGGGGTGAAGGTTGGGCCCCCCAGCCAAGGCTTGTGGTGGGTTCGGGGGGTGGCCAGGGCAGCGAGGGGACAGGGGACACAGGGACCAGCACACAGCCTGGGGGAGAGCCGCACGGAGCTGCTCACTGCGAGGAATATGTGTGTGTGAGGTTGGTAGGACGCATTGATCGCTCAAACGAGCTGTGCAAGCTGATACAACCCGATGAAGCTTCGGTGTGGTCGCAGCACTGATGTGGTGGGAATGTCGGGATCCTGCTGCCCTGGGTAAGCTGGGTGGCAGAGGGAGCAGAGCGTGTCCGTGCCGTGGGAGAGACTGGAAGGGTGGGGTACAGGGCGGTAAGATATCTAGCAGGACACAGACTGGGAGGTGAAGGTAGATGGACGAGCCGGAGGAGCATCGCGGCATGGCCTCCTCCCGCAGCATCACAGCTCTGTCACCTCCGCTCCCTTCCCGTGGCACACGGCACCGTGGGGACGTGCCAGCGCAGAGCCGGCTGGCGGCACCGGAGGGGACACCCTGAACGGCACCCAGCACCTGGTCCAGGAGTCCAGCCTGGTTTCTGAAGTCTGACTCACAAACGCTGCCTGGGTAAGGTGTCGGTTTGCAGCTCAATTTTAATCTAATCTCAAAACACTACCTAAACTGCTCATTATTTGGTGGCTGTAGTGAAATGATTCCTTTGACACTGAGCCTTTGATTTGGAATTACTACAGCGGTGGGTTTGCTGAAAACTAAGCTGTTACTATTTAAACTTCTGAAAGAAAAGCAGATTTGTGTGTAATACACTGACTTTTATTTT